CTCTTTCCTCCACCCTGTAAGATTTTATTTGTAGCCTGGACCAGGGACAGGGAGAGATGGGTAAAAAAACAGGGCAGTCATCAAGGCAGTAATTTTCTCAAGAAAAATAAAGAATGCAGCTGGCAGGAGAAACTTCTTGCACAAGTTTGGGACAAGAAGCTAACTTTATTAGAACTATTAGCATTTCCCAGGAACGCATGTTTACTGTAGCGAGGTGTTTAAGTAAAGAACATCAATAAAAGGCAGACACTTTGGCAATGAAACCCACAGTCCCACAGTATTTGCTATGTCTCGGGGGATGCACGTGCAATATTCAGAACCTACTAGAAGCATCAAGGAAAAGCCCATGTACATACTGAATGGGAATGCCAGTCCGTTCTTTTCTATAAGCTGCAAGGTATCTTCTCCACAGGCGCTTGTCAGCTCCATAAAGGGTGGTGAACAGATCCTCTCATCTGCAAGACAAAAAAAAGACTCAAATGGAGATGAGGGGTTTAGCTTCTCAGCTGCATCATTACCAGCTCTCTCCATACTAACTGCTTCTTGATAGTCAGCTTTACTTTAACAGTTTGATATTAAAACACCAGAAAGATTATCAGCCAGGCCTGAATTTGGGTTTCTGGAAACACTTCAGAAGATGAATGGCACAACTTTCAGATAATCGAAATAGAACTATAAAGCATGTATTTTCACAATTAGGCAGCAAAAATGATCACCTGCTTCAGAATACGTAGCTGCACAAGACTTAGTGAAGTGAAAAGCAATTGAGATCTTTGCTCTTAACTTTATGCCTTCAAGCATAATTTTCTACAGCATTTTACAAAAACCTGAATGGTCAGCAAGCGTGGCTGGAGTAGGCTGTCTCACAAAGCCATCACTAGTGTAGGGCCCCTCGGGTGGCAGATTCCAGTGTGGATTTACTTCAGCCAAGGTGCCAGCCATGTAATACATCCAACTGTCCACTGGGACCTCTCTGCATGAAAGCAGTGCTCATTTGGTCTGGCAAAGCCAGTCAGAGCACTGCTGAGACACTGAGACACCTTGGCAAGACTGCCAAGAACTTATGAGAACTCTGGCCATTAGCAATACTGTTGCTACAAGAAGATTTCTGCGAAAAGACTATTTTCATGCATCCTAAAAGGAGCAGAAAGATTGATGCTTTGAGGTCAACCTCTACAAAGCTAAACAAAACATCCCAGACTTCAAAGCTTTCAGTTCACTGCTATGAAAACAGAAAGCGGCATCCAAAAGTGACAGGTACTGCAATATTTACAAGCCTTTGCCAGAGCAAAAGTTCCTTAGTTGGATGAATTTAAGGAATCAGATTTAGTTTACAGATACTCAGGAACAACTTTGGCTTGGCAGCTCTCCCACCAATATGCATAAGGCTCACAAATAACTTTGCCTTCAGAGTGAGATGCAGAGGGACTTACGGTTCCATCTCACTTCCCTCTTTCTCTCACATGCAAACAGGAACAGGAGACAGGGAGGATT